ATGCTGTATGAAAAGTTGAAAGCTTACCGAGCTGCAGTGGAGGAAAAAGTAAAATGATCAAGACAAAAAGTTTTTTTCACCTGGGAAAACCCCCACCTGTTTCACAGATTAAATAAAACCTTTAAGGAACATATAAAGATCATCCAGGGAAAACATTTTTTAATCTTTTCCTAAGTCACATACACTGGAGAGAATACAATTGAGATTAAAAATGGACAATCAAAAGTCTGAACTGAAACAATAGATTTGTCTTATTCTCTATTACTGCACATGGCATGTTCAAAACATGCACATTTTCTTCTTATGAAGGCTTGTTAGCTGTGCAGTTTTTTGTTCTACTGGGTTTTAAATTTTAAGTATTTCTATATATGCATGACCATTTTATTATTTATTTGTTAGATTTTTATTTGTTTGGATAATCTGTCTACAGATAGTCACAAATAAAACCGTTTAGGATATAATATGATTTTGTTCGAATTTCTATATATATGTCAATGCTGGATATGGAGAGGGCAGAAAAGAGTACCAGCAGCTTGTGAGGAGAGCCGGTGCCCATGAAAAAGTACTGGTATGCCAAAGAGTAAAATGTAGAACTGCCAGTACTAGCACTGGCACTGCTGGCAACATAAGCAAACATCCCCACACCTATCATCAGAACTTGATTCAAATGCTGCTAAACTCTGGACATCATGATATCATCACCTTTCTCCATTTTGGGTGAGTCCTAGTCACTTCAAACCGCGGAGAAAAACAAGCACAAAAACATAAATACAGAAATCTGTGATGTGAAATAACCAAAGCTGTTTAATTTTGGCAGAGTGTGTTCGTGTCCAACCTAATTGCTCATAGTAGGAAGTCAATTGAGGAAATACATTTCTAGGACCTTTAAGTGCTTAGAATAGTAGTCTAATGAAATTTTCATAATGACATATGCTGCTTTTTCGCAAATTATTGCTGTGGTCGTTCATCATTCATATTTTATCACCCTAAACACAAAAAAAAAATTGGCCGCCACACAACTGAGGATGTTCACAAACCTTTTGTACAAAACCTCTGCAGCGAATGAAAATTGAATGGGGCAGCATTGCCGCATATGCTTTCCTCTCCTGGGTTTTCATCATGAGTATTGATTTTGATGTGTTAATGCAAAGTAGGCTGATTACACAACTCTGTCAGCTGGGGCCATCAAACAGTTTATTAATGTGAGGCCCAACTCACAATTGAATTGTAAAACTATAATTAATTTCTATTGAACTGCATTGTATGATGTGTAATCTTGTTTTCCATATTGATAGCATATTGCTTGCATACGCATTTGAAGATACGTATTAACAGAAGAGAGAAAATTTAAAAGCCTGCAAGTCGGAGCTCAAGTCTTTCCTTCCTTTCCTTCACTGTGCCTTTTGTTACTGAGTCAATGCAATTGTCTTCGCACTCTGACAAAATGACTTCAACATGTCACATGAAAAAGGTCACTAGAAAAAAGACTTCTTCATTTTCTTAGTCTGTTTGGCACAATAAACAAATTGAAATTACGTTTAGAAATTGAAATTACATTGCACATAGAAATATGCACATTTTATGGCTGATTCTTCTCAGCCAGACTGGCCTGTGTCTATTTGAGTTTGAGACACTATTTTTAAAGAGCTCTCCTAAATCACAAATTAGCACAGGCTTTTCATGTCATTGATTTTTCCTTACTAATTGCGGCTTAGCAAAAGCACCCAAGACACGGTGTACTTCAGAAGTGCAATTTACTGGTAATCACTTCAGTGGTCTTGGTTTATTTGACTCTCAGTTTCCACACTGGGGAATATCTTGCGCTGCATCATTACGACTGCAATTATGGTTTAAGTATTCAAAAACCACTTACAAAATACCTGCAGGAACTTTATCTCCTTAGGATGACTTGTGAGGTTGTAAAAGATTTATCAATACTGTAAGTGGTTTTGAATGAAATGGACAGAAATGTATATGTATTGGTTACAAAGGAACAGTGATTTATACTGTTATTACAGCGCTCTAGTATAGACGGAGTGATATAATATCTTATATAGTCTCTCATATTGACTAGATGTTAAAGATGAGTGATACTGCCTTGAAGCATCTACTCTGCCATGACCTTCAGCTGTTTGGTTAAATTGACACTGATGTTAAGCGATTCAGGATTGAGACAGAACACAGATAGAAACTGGACTATTTTGTTAAAATTCTTCCTCAGGTTTAAAATGTTATTGTCACTTAGCCTCAAGGGCAATGTCACAGTGACATTCAGGACTTTTGGTTCGAAACGTAACCTTTGTCCACGATTTAAATCCTATTATGCCAACCAATGTTGGCTCACATTTAAACACTTCAGATTTGTTTATTTCAATGTGTTTTTCAAGTCTCTTTATACAAAATGCACACCCACATATTCACATATATCCAAATGTACAATTCAAACAAATTTCACTTTTATCAATTTCTGAGGACCATATTTGCTGCACCACACAGAAACTGGATCAACTCCAAGTGGACATCTGTCACACTTGTTCTGCTTATTTCACAAAGGAGTGAACAGGCGTGTTGTGTTTGTTGTGCAAATTGATGGCTGAATGTCCGAGACACGACTGACGCTGCCTCCGTTTGTCATCCGGTGGAGCTGCTGCTTGAATTTCCATTTGTGTTCCCTTACAAAAACACCCAAATGTGACCCTAGTGGCTTTCACACAAAGTGCTTCTTCCTTGGATACAAAGGAAGACATACAAAAACATAGGAAAAAGGATAGAGATCACGTTGAAATAAATAATTAAATCAGCATGAAAAATAGGCCACAGAATTTGATTTACATCCAAATGTTCTATTACAGCAAGTATGTTGCTTTTTGTAATGAAAATCTAGGGAGGAGGTTTCTTGTTTAAATCAATCAATAGCGGCGAGCCTGCCTCTCTGCAGAGACACTCGTGCAGGTGACAAGATTGGTGGCAGTTTGGGAACAAAGTTGTGTTTTTTCCCCTTCACATATGAATGAATTGGTGCTGGGACTTGTTTGCTCTGAAAAGGTCCAGGCTCTCTTTGCTGGAGACAACTTCACCCTTTAATTTTTTTATTTTATCATATTTTATGCAGCTGGAGGAGTTTTGGCAAGACCAAACCATGAAGTCTACGATAAGATTGCAACAACAACACCCTGCTGATTACCATAAACATAAACCTAGATACGCCCTTTTAAAACCCGAGAGCTGGATCACATGTGCAAGAACAGCAATTAAAACATTTCCTCATATGCATGTTAATGTTTGAGCTAACTCATTACTAGAAGTGTTTAATATGTTGTCCAACGATGTTTTCAGAAAATTATGAGACTTGCTGCACTAAATATTTGAAACACTACTACAGTACTACAGCAGCCAAGAGCGTCCTAGAAGATTTAGAGTCTTTTACAACTTGTTCCCTCAGGCTCGACTGAGAGAAGGTGGCTTGTTGCTGGATGAATAAATACTTTATGTGCTGTGATGTCTGCTGATTCAATGTTCTTTGCTGCTTTCAAACCCTTGTGTTTACATCTATGCATCCTACCTTTGCCTGTCAGAATGTGTCACAATTAGTCTGTACTATTGTGCAAAATGATGTGCGGATTTGCAACATGAATCTTCGTCACGGTACTGAAATGGGGACACAGTATGTTTGATAAGCACTATGGCACTTGTGACACTGACATTGGTATGTGCAATTTGCATTAGCGGGAACAGTTACCTGATATATGATTCCCACCCTAAATACACACCAAATAACTCCTTAAGGAGTACACTTCTGTATTTTAATAAGCAGAAAGCTGAGTGAGAGCTTAAAACAGAAATATACTTTCTCCCCGTAAATTGGCTGGATTGCTCCTCCAAACTCAAAACATTAAACTTGAACCTGCCTGGTTATAAGTGACAAAATGATAAAGTGGCATTATCTGTAAAAATGTCACAGGGACTTAATGACGTGCTACATCACAGCAATGACATTAAAGTTTGCTGTTCTGCAAAGAGCATCCTTTAGAATATAAATGACTCCCTAAGCGCAGAGCCCAACTGTACTAAGCAAATAAACCAGTACGTATTAGCATTATTGGAAAAGCAAAGAATTTCTCACAGTGCACAGTGATGGCGTTTGCCTTGTTTTACTTAGTTACTCCTTATTTTGTGGAAGATAAGTGGTGTGTCAGTTTGACCTGGCTTCACACTATTTCTGCAGGTGTCATCAATTTAACTCAGTGAGAACTCTTGATGGATTTTACAGACATGCACCTTAGGGGGGGCAAGTGAGTCTGGGGTTACCGTGACCTGACATCAAACCCCACTCTGGTACTAAAAGACAAATGACGAGTGGAGACACTTACATTCAGCCTCTTGCTTTGTTATGATCACTTCGATTATAAAGACTGGAGAGTGTTTTCACGATTATTTTCCAAGATGCATTGCTGCACCTGCCTTGGCACACTTATCAGCATCACACAGAGATCATGTCAATTCACCACGTTCTTTTCACCCTGAGTGAGGCAAACATCCATTCTTTGAAGGCCTAAATCTCTTTATCTAACCACCTTCACGGTTTTGTCCTGTCGACTGACTGTGACAGTTTGAGGAAAGCGCTAAATGCAAACCACAATCAAACAAATCATCAAGCTGAAATTGTCAGCTTCAGAGTTTTCTCACATGAACGGAGTGAATTCAAAAAGTAAGCAGCCTGCCCTTGTTTAAGAGAAGACATCATTTCTCCTGCTATGGAGCCATTAACAAAAACCAAAAACTTCCTGTCATCCTCATTTTTATCTGTGAATCCATTCATCCATCTTTGTGTCAGTCAGTATTTAAAACAACTAATAACACACGTACATCTCCTTTCTTCTATGAGAACTTATAAGGGACAATTGAACATGTATGTAGTAGGAACTGATCAGAGGAATTGTACGTCCCTCGCAAATAGGAAATCCACCCTGCTGAAAATAGCAAGTAATAATAGAAATATTAATAAACTTTATTTACATCGAACCTTTCAAAACACAGTTACAAAGTGCTTTGCATTTCAGCAGCGGAACCTGACGACAGAGAACAGTTTGCAAAATTTGCCAAAACAGAGGGGCTCGCTGTGTCAAAAACATCTTTTATAAATTTTACAGGAAGAACATCTAAAGGACATGCTGAGTATTTCATTTCCATTGCCATAGTTGTGGAGATGGAGAGATTGGATGAAATGAGAAGAGGGGAACTGCACAGGAATCTGATGGGAAGAAATCAAAATAACAAATTATCTTTAAGGTCTTCTGATTAACAAATGAAAGAGAGGCGGCATGTAATATCTGGCCTCGGGGAGAATTAGTGACACAACATTGAACAACATTCTTGGGTTGGATTGATTGTTTTCAACTAGAGTAGCAAGAAATGCCACTCTAGAAGTTTTAACCTCTGCATCAAAAATCTTAAGTGGAGACCTGAGAAGTTCCAGGTGAACTGTGAGGTTTGATGATTTCCACCTTTCAGCATTTTTTGCTTCAGCACCCAAATATAAAAATATAATATAAATATATCAAAAAGCAACTACATTTTTGAGTCTTGAAGAGTGCTTTTTTTAAGATGGAGGAGCATGTTCAATATTAATGATTAACATACCTATGTACCTTGTCCTGAGATGAACAGCCACTACCAGCTGTAAATGTGATAAGGAAAACTAAAAGCAGGTCAAGGTGCTATCACTTTGCATCGCCAGTAAAACACCAACAACACACGGTAATACTGCAAGTGAGTAATTTCCCAACTGATCTGACGATGACTCTGTCCTTCTCTGTACCTCCTCAGCATTTAGTCTGCCTCTTTGTTTCTCTGCGGTTGTGTTTTATTTTTGTATTCACCTTTTGTTAGGAGAACTCCACCTCAAGAAACCAAAGATAAGTGTCCATTTTGTACTACAGTTGCAATGGCTTCAGGGAAAGAAAACGGTGGACTCGACAATCTTGCATTCGATGTAAGTACAATGACTTTTTCATGTAAAATATACCATATGTAGACACTTTTAAGTTCTTTCTAAAGCAGTCAGCATCACGAGGCACCTGTTAGCATTCAGATGAAACACTGCTTTTTATTTTTTTTTTATATAACAGTAAAGATCGCACTCCACTGAGTTCGGGTTATTCCTGGTACACAGCTGGGCAAGGGTAGAATAATTGTGCATTATACTGTAATTATACTGTAAGTACACCAATGAGAATGTCTAATTAAATGCACAGCACTTGCACACTGTAAATTTCAATATTTACATTACGGCAGAAAGTAGGAGTAACTGTTTTGAAGCATGATTTTACTGTGTGTGTATATATATCTAATATTTAACTTATTAGCATTACCACAACAGACAGTTACTGCTCTCTGATGTACTGACTTCAAATCAGCGTTAACAACTGCAGCCTGCAACACTTCATTAGTCTAAATATTAACTGCTAGCACTATCTCTGGCTTTACATGAAATGTATCTGAGCCTTTGACCATTTTGCGTGTTCAGCCATCCTAGCAAACAACCAACAGACCAAACCTGTACGATGAGAGGAAAATCTACGATAACATTATTATATATTGAGATGATCACTTTCCATAAATAAAAAAATATTGAAGTGCGCATATTGGCTGCCTGGTTGTTTTTAAATTTAATATAGGGTTTGTATTAAATATTCTAAATACAACTAAATGTTGTTTATAGAGCAGCAAAATTAATGTTAACAACAGCAAAGTCAATATAAAGTCGATATCTGACACAGTACTGAGTGATGTTTACAAAGAATGAAAATGTCTGTTTCAGTCTTTCCTCCTGTCCTCCTCCTCCTCCCTGCAGTTATTTAACGTTACTGCCAGCAGGTAACCTTAGAGAAGAGCAGCTGGTTCATCTCAGCCAGCAGCTGAGTTTACAGCAGTGTGCATTTTAAGCTACAGTGCCAACTAATCAGAATCAGAATCAGAATCAGTTTATTGCCAGGTATGTGTACACATACAAGGAATTTGACTCAGGATTGTACATTGCTCACGATGTGCTTACTTGTACAATAATACCATAACACAATAATAAAATAATAATAAAATAAAATCAGACACAAACTACAGAATAGACAACACTAACATACACACTATGAACAAAACAATATAGACATATTGACAAATACGTAGTGCAGTGATCAGAGTGCAAAGGATGCAAGAGTAAACTATGATTCTCATTATGTACATGTTGAAGGTGGATATGATATACAGGTACACATACACATACATGCATACAGTGTGATGGAGCATAGTGCAAAGGATGCTGGAAAAAATAAATAAGACCTATGACCTTATGACCTGAGGTAGGTGTATTGGTATACAGTATATACAATATGACATAGTATGCACAGCACTGAAATAGAGAATGGTGAATAAATAAATAATAAGTGGTAACCAGTAGACAGGTGGCTGATTAGAGGCAGAGTTACTGGGTTATTGCACAGGAATTGTTCCTGACACCATGAGTCAGAAGTCAGCTGTTCATCAGAGTGATGGCTTGTGGGAAGAAACTGCTTCTGTGTCTGTTTGTTTTGGCGTACAGTGCTCTGTAGCGCCTACCGGAGGGGAGAAGCTGGAACAGGTTGTGTCCGGGGTGATATGGATCTGCAGTGATGTTTCCTGCCCGTTTCATGACTCTGGAAATGTATAAGTCCTGAATGGAGGGCAGGTTGGCACCGATTATTTTTTCTGCAGTCCTGACTGTCCGTTGTAGTCTGCTCCTGTCCTTTTTGGTGGCAGATCCAAACCAGACAGTGATGGAGGTGCAGAGGACAGACTGGATGATGGCTGTGTAGAAGTGGATCAGCAGGTACTTAGGCAGGTTGAGCTTCCTGAGCTGACAAAGGATGTACATCCTCTGCTGGGCCTTCTTGATGATCGTGTCAGTGTTGGGCTCCCACTTCAGGTCCTGGGATATAGTGGATCCCACAGCAGACACAGGGCTGTTGAGTATGGTGATGGGGGGGCTCCTCCTGAAGTCCACGGTCATCTCCACAGTTTTGAGCGTGTTAAGCTCCAGGTTGTTCTGACCGCACCAGAGAACCAGCTGATCAACCTCCCGTCTGTAGGCCGACTCATCCCCGTCCCAGATGAGGCCGATGACCGTTGTATCATCAGCGAACTTCAGGAGTTTGACAGATGGGTCCCCTGAGGTGCAGTCGTTGGTGTAGAGGGAGAAGAGCAGTGGGGAGAGCACACACCCCTGGGGGGTGCCAGTGCTGATAGTCCGGGTGCTGGATGTGATGTTTCCCAGCCTTACACTGTAATGTCCTTCAGGTGGGCCAACACCAGTCTTTCAAAGGACTTCATGACAACAGATGTCAGGGCGACGGGCCTGTAGTCATTTAGTCCAGAGATGGAGGGGTTTTTTGGGACCGGGACGACTGTGGAGCGTTTGAAGCAGGAGGGAACACAGCTCCAGTGATTTGTTGAAGATCTGAGTGAAGATGGGGGCCAGCTGGTCTGCACAGATTTTCTGGTACGATGGTGAGACACTGTCAGGTCCAGGAGCCTTCCTGATCTTCTGCCTTTGGAAGAGGTGGCTCACATCCTCTTCACAGATCTTGAGTGCAGGTGAGAGGTCAGAGGGGGAAGGTGACTGCTTGAAGATGGCGTTGGAGTGGGGGAGAGGTATGACTCTGGGCTTTTCAAACCTACAGTAGAAACCATTCAGCTCGTCTGCCTGTCGTTGAGTACTAGCAGTGTTGGGGGATGGTCTCTTGTAGTTTCTGAGTGTCCGTAGGCTTCTCCACAATGACGCAGGCTCGTTGGCTGCAAAGCTGTTATTTAGCTTTTCAGCATAGCACCTCTTTGCAGCTTTGACCTCTTTAGTCATTGTGTTCCTGGCCTGGTTGTGCAAGATTCTGTCCCCACTTCTGAAGGCCTCCTCCTTGGTCTGACGAAGCTGCCTGAGTTTCGCTGTGAATGAGGGTTTTTGGTTGTTGTATGTGCTAAACAGTTAGACTAAAGTTACAGACAGACAGATTTCAATTTAGCTTGTCCACTGCTGGCTGCTGTATGTGTGTGTGTGCACGCAGGAGCCGACACAGAGCAGCAGAGGCTGCAGCCTGAACAGTAAGCTGTAGCCCCGGGCCAGTTTAAGACCGCGTTTCGGTGCCAGGACTAATAACATTAACATTAAGGCTTTTTACGTGTAAAGGTTTTATTGCACTTATAGTAATGAGCATTTACCAACTGGACTTCACTGTACTTTTGCCTATAAGGGCTTTGCTCATGTATTTAATGGCACATTGGAGCTAACGTTAGCCATCAACTCTGCCACGTTCGCCCTTCAGAATTCTGTGTTTTAAGACATACAGCCAGCTGCAGTGTAGTTGGACATCAATATTAAGTTGTTCTACAATGCGGCTTCTATTGAAATGCAAAACAATGATTTAGTAAGTAATTTAGAGACACTTAACGTTACCACAGACTTTCGACAAGGAAAATGGCGCAGTAAAAATTCCTGTTGGTTGAAGGTTGAAATCCCAGAGAAGTTGGACGGGGCTTTCCGCAGTAATTCTTTCACCAAGTCTTTTAAATACAAAAACTACTAACCATGGAGGAATCCATGTACTTTGACAAGGAATCTACTGTGTAGCTGGCTTTTGTCAAGATGAATCACTTGCTTCTGTCTGGTTTGTAATGCGGCACCCAGCTAACCAATCCTGCTTCAGACTGATGTTGGCACCACCCACTCTATTAGCATACAGGCGCAGGGAAAAATAAATGTGGAAATACAGGCATAAATAAATGTAGAAAAAATTAAAAAATGCATGTAGAAATGCATATATAAATACAGCATTAGCCTTTTTTTATTACAAAAATATTTTTAATTTTTATTTATTTCTGCATTTAATTATTTATTTCTGCTTTTAATTATTTATTTCTGCATTTATAGATATGTCATTTCTGGTCTCTCATACCAGTCAAGCTTCATGCTAAGAAGGCAAACAGTTAGCTAACAGTTATACATCTCATCCCAAAAAAGGTGACAGCGATAGACTCCGTGACCTTGCCAACGGTAAATTTAAATAAGCATTAAATCAGCATTAAATCTGTCTCTGGGATCCGTGACAGGAGACCATCGACTTTTGTGTTGCGATTTCGGTACAGTCCTAATGTTTATGTCTGCATTTGCATTTCTTTTATATGGTGCTACAGATGGATGTACAAGTCAATTACCAGCCCGGAGGAAAGGAGGGGAAGACCAGTGGGAGCAGATGTATAGCAGAGGAAGACAGAAATAAACCAACCTATGGTGTGACTGATGTACCCCCCTGGTACCTTTGTATTTTCCTGGCCATTCAGGTGGGTGTAATCATACCAGTGTTGTAAGTTGATTTTAGCCTTCAGCATGATTTCGAACTTATGACAAGATCTCTTTGAATGTCTTGTGAAATTCCTGGTTGTTGTGGCTGTTGAACTGACACTGTGATTGGGACAATAATAATGACAAGTTAAAACTTTCGCTCCTTTCAGCATGTAAACATCATTGTAACATTGCAAAAGTGTGTTGTAGCGGCCTGTGATGGTAAATGCAATCCCTCTTTGCTTTGTTTCAGCCAAAAGAAAGGCGATAACATTCTGTATGTTGTAAAGACCAGCATTCTTGCTGTGTTCTGTGTTTGTAGTGCGCTGTCAGCACCATCAATCCATCATTCTCATCACTGTTTCTCTCATGTGCAGCATTACCTGACAGCTTTCGGTGCGATCATCTCCATCCCGCTCATTGTCTCTGAGGGTCTGTGTCTGCAGCACGACAGCCTGACCCAGAGTCACCTCATTAACACCATTTTCTTGGTCTCTGGCCTGTGCACCCTGCTGCAGGTCACCTTCGGTGTCAGGTAAGGATGATGATGCTGATTCATTCCACCACTCTCCATCCAGTAAGGCAATGGTTCTCAAAGTGGGGTCCTTGAGTGGGTTCAAACAATCAACAAAATTTATTTCGGTCCTCACACATAATTTTCCATAACAAAAAAGGAAAACAATGAAAATAAAACAATATATACATGCATAACAACCGAAAAAGGTGTAGACTGAAGCCTATGCTTATTATGCAAACCCTTTTTACATAATTATCTAAAGAGCGTCACTTTTCTCTCTAGATTTGATCCATTCATAATAAACGTACAGTTACATAAAAAAATGTAAAAACAAAAATTTCCAAGATGTTCATACATCTTCCAGGGGGTCCCCAGCAATAAGGGGAATAATTTATTTTCCAGCGGTGCAAACCTGTCACCTTTTGGTGAAATTCACCATTTATAATTTATAATTATAATTTTACTAATGTGGGGGACCCTGTGACAAAATCAAATGGAGTTCCGTGGTCCTTAATGTGAAAATGTTTGAGAGCCACTGTAAGGTAAGATTGGCACAATAGTTGAGATGAGCTCTGTTAACAGAAGTACATCAGTTAGACCCTAATTGAAAAGTTTAAAAGTGGTACACTCACTACTGCTTTTACTTTCTTACCTTTACACTTCAACACTATTTGAAGGAACAAGTCTTAAAGTTCCACTAATCTGCTTATTTATATTAACAATAAATTAAATGACTCCACTGAATGTGAAAATGTTAATAGTGTGGTAACAGTGACAAACAGAACTCACAGAGAATTATCACCCAACTGAATCAGAATCAGAAAGAGCTTTATTGCCAAATAGTATTTTACACGTATGAGCAATTTGCTATGGTGATTAGGGGCTAGATATAGACCTAAACATACAGTTGACATAAATAAATGTAAAATATATAAATGTGGAATAAACAGGTGTGCAAGTTATAAAAGAATAGCAGAACTATGTGTAAAAGAAAACCAACAAAGTGGGAGTGAGGGGAATCAGTGTCAGAGGGGGTCTGGGCCTTGTTAATGAGGCCACCTGTGAATGGGAAGAAGCTGTTCTTGTTGCATGAGGTTTTGGTCCTGATGGACCGCAGCCTCCTGCTGGAGGGGAGTATCTGAAACAGCTGCAGCTTTTTAGCTTCTTTTAGCTCACTGTTTTGGTCTTACATCACATTCTCTTTATGGTTCAGTCTCACTGCTCTTATCAACCCATTTTCAGCAAGCAGCTATTTTTAAAACCTCTGGCACGCTACCTGCCTGGCACCAGACGATGGACAGACAACATTAGCGATAGATGGTAAAGAAATTCAGAAAAATCAGCAGCTAATGTAGCACCTAGATATTTTTCTCAGGAGTTGATCGAAACCAAAATTGCTCTAAAGTAGAGTGAATACATGGGCTTACATTTTTCTGGCAGACAGAAACACTCCAGATCAATATACATTTTGTTCCAAACCTTCTGGTTGAGGAGATGCAAGTGTTTTTGATAACATTTGCTTAAAATCTGCTTATCATCAGCATGTTAACATATTCATTGTAAGCATGTTAGAATGCTAACATTAGCATTTAGTTCAAAGCACGGCTGTGCCTTTAAGTACAAAAAAAGTTATGTCCATCAAATGCAAGCTAACCAGTTGCATACTGTGCTGTAGTATTATAGATTAGGAGACACATGGCATCCTTTAATTGCTTTGTTTTGGACAAATTTCACAGTAAATTGTTTTTGTTTTTTTTATTACCATTTATGTCACAAATGTAGGCTTCCCATCCTACAGGGGGGTACGTTTGCTTTGCTGACACCTGCCATGGCCATGTTGTCCATGCCAGAGTGGAAGTGCCCAGCCTGGACCCAGAACGCCAGTCTGGTCAACACCTCTTCACCTCTCTTCATTGAAGTGTGGCAGACCCGCATGAGAGCAGTGAGCCACCACAAACATTGTGCATTCACATCTTAAAATAAAAACAAGCCAACAAAGAAGTATAACAGCACTTCTGTGGAGCTCATAATTAATTCAGTGAGCTCATGTAGTGTCTGCTCCGGGAAGTAACCAGTTATATTGTTGTTACAGTCTGTCACTCAGCCAAAGAAAGAGTGATGATGTTAACGCTCATGCTCTTGGTTCTTGTGTTCCCGTTAAGCTGCAGGGTTCTATCATGGTGGCCTCTCTCCTCCAGATCCTGGTGGGTTTCTTTGGTATCATCGGCTTCCTCATGCGCTTCATAGGTCCATTAACCATTGCCCCCACAGTCTCTCTGATAGGCCTGTCACTGTACGATTCAGCTGGAGCCAAGGCTGGCAGCCACTGGGGCATCTCTGCTATGTACGTAAGCACTGACTGCTGCGGTGAATGCCTCTTTGCCCAGTTGGAAATGTCAAAATGTTTTTACTGTGTTGACCAGCAGTATTGGGCTGTAAATTTAGCAACAGGAGGTCACAGTCTAAAATGATATTAACTTAACTGGTGATACTGGGAAAGAGCCAGAGCTCTTTTGAAATTTAGATTTGATGAGCCAGAAATTTCCTTCAGTGGGGATAGTGTCATCACAGGCCTGTTTTGAGTATGATATCAGTCTGTAATTTTGCATCATCTTGCTAATGATGTTTCTCTCATACACACAGGACCACAGTGCTGATCATCCTGTTCTCCCAGTATCTCCGTCTCATACCAATCCCTGTTCCTACATACAGCAAAGCCAAGAAGCTGCACACCTCCAAGTTCTTTGTCTTCCAGATAATGCCTGTATGTTCTCTGGAATACACTCAGATACTGTGATTTACATACTGTTTTAGACTATAATGCTCTGTGTTATTAATGGTAAAATATATATTTTTAAACAATTTTGTTGTATTTTATAGTAAACCTGAAATACTGACACTGTTAATAATATTAGATATTGTTTAGATTCTGCTGGGTATTGCGGTCTCATGGTTAGTCTGCTACCTCCTTACCATCTATGATATCCTACCATCTAATCCGACCCACTATGGCCATCTGGCCCGTACTGATGTGAAGGGAAATGCGGTGAATGAGGCTCCCTGGTTTACATTTCCATATCCTGGTAAGTTCAACATTTTACTCTGTAGGCTGGCGATGGGTAGTGTTAAGATCCCTGGCAATAGTGTCATTAACATGCTCTCTACCTGTCTAACAGGCAAGACAGTCTCTGTGTCTCTTGCCAACTTTAAAACTGACAATTTTAACAAATTGTTGTGGGTTCCCACAAGGTTAAGTTGTAGGCCCAAGACTGTTCAGTCTACATATGCTGTATTCCTTTATTTTCACATGATAACCTAATCCCTTTAAATGATTATTAAATAGTGACAATCAGACACTGGATGACCCAAAACTTTCCGCCGTTATACAAAGACAAGATTGAGATCCTTGTAGTAGGCGCTAGAGTCCAGAGACAGGAGATCCACTCAAACTGATCTGTGGTCTCTGCAGTCAGCAATGTGAAATCTAGGTGTTATCTTGGAACTTCACAATCCACATCACAGGTGTAACTAGGCCAGCATTTTACCACCTGAAAACTGTTTCCAAAGTCAGATCCATCTGGTCTCAGTCAGACTCTGAAAAGCTGGTTCATGCATTCATATCTTCTGGGCTAGATTACTGTAATGTCCTTCTTGCCAGACCTCACAAAAAGATTGTGGGACGGCTCCAACTCATTCAAAATGCTGCACCCAGAGCCACCCACCCACCCTATACTTAGATCTCTTCACCTTCTTCCAATAAAACACAGAAGTGATTTCAATATATCCTTTACCGTTTACAAATCAAGCATAGCGTTAGTTCAGACAGGCAACAAAGTCAAGCCCAGCTGACAAGCACATCAGCTGACAGCAGCCATCTTAAAGCCAGCCACATCAGCTGACAGCTCAGCTGGTTCCTCTCTTAGCATTCAATGGCAAATTCCATACAAGGCATCTTATTTAAGCTGCCTGCCCTTGCAGCTTCCTCTGCAAGCAGCCTGTAATCCACCTCCACCCTAGCTCCTCCTTTCAGGTCGTATCTGATTAATCATGTCATTCGTTTCTTAACGCCTGCTCTGTTGTGTTGGTCTTAGCTTTGATGAAAGTTGTCCTCCAGAACTCTCAGATCAACAGACACTGGCCTCCTAACTGCACCCATGATCAGTAATAAACCTGGGGAAGGTGCATTCAGTTATTATGGGACCCACTCCCTGGAGCAAACTGCCTGATAATATAAAATGTACCTAACTGTGTCATTTTTTCATCTGTTCTCTCAAGATGAATTATTTTTATTATTGTCTTCTTTTTTATATGTATTTAAAGATGCATTCATGTGTCATTTTATTTTATTCATATTTGTTGTGATGCACAATGAACTCACATTGTATGACGTGCCATAAATAAATTTGGTTTGACTTGACAATATTGCTGACAATCACAATTTTGACTCCTCATTCAGGTCAGTGGGGCATGCCAACTGTGAGCCTGGCAGGTGTGTTTGGCATAATGGCTGGAATACTATGCTCCATGGCAGAGTCTGTGGGCGACTACCACACATGTGCCAAGCTGTCAGGGGCCCCTCCTCCCCCCAAGCACGCCATCAACCGGGGCATTGGTATTGAAGGGCTCGGCTGTTTGTTGGCAGGGGCCTTTGGCACTGGCAATGGCACTACCTCATTCAGCGAGAATGTGGCTGCCCTGGGTATCACCAAGGTAAGACACTTCGACTGATAATAACGTCCAGCCCTAAAATCAGATTACAGAACAAGCAAGTCTATGAAACTCTCACATTTCCAACTACCTCTTTTGTGTGACAACAGGTGGGTAGCAGAATGGTGATTCTTCTGAGCGGAGTTTTCATGATTTTGATGGGGATGCTGGGTAAAATCGGAGCCATCTTCTCAACAATCCCCACCCCTGTGGTTGGAGGAATGTTCCTTATCATGTTTGGAATCATAACTGCAGCAGGAATTTCTAATCTGCAGGTAAACACACAGCATGAAATATGATTTGGTAGTCAGCCAGATTGTTCCCAAGTGCTGTGCTCCTTGCTGTTCAGAATTTTGCTGACATGTCTCATTTTACAGTCCACAGACATGAATTCCTCCAGGAATATATTTGTTTTTGGATTTTCCCTGTTTTCTGCACTCGTCATTCCAAACTGGATAATAAAGAATCCAGATTTATTAAAAACAGGTAGAATTTACCAAGAACTATTCCATTTTTCATTTAGTGATACATATCAATCTTAAGGTGTTTTGACTTTATTGCACTAATAATTTTTTTCTTTTGTCATTGGTGTGTAACTCAGGTATTAATGAGGTAGACCAAGTGTTACACATATTGTTGACCACCCATATGTTTGTAGGAGGATTTCTTGGCTTCTTCCTAGATAACACAATTCCTGGTAAGGTGGAATTTTGTTATTGAATGAAATTGCATTTGATACACATAGCAGCCTTACAACAGCTCCATGTAGCCTCTTATAATCATTATGTAAATCACATCTTTTCTATTTTGTGAATGTAAATTACATGTGTGTTATTATAAAGTAAGGTGTGGAATATGGCTGAATTCTTATAGTCTTTTTCTTATACCACTGTCTCAGGGACCAAACGTGAGCGTGGCATCTTTGTCTGGGACAAAGTACATCTTGAGGACTCTAGCAACACCTTGGGAACTAATGAGGTGTATGACCTCCCCTTTGGCATAACCTCTTGCCTCTCATCTCAATCTTGGGTTCGTTACATCCCTTTCTGCCCATGGAAGGGCCACAGAAGTCTTCCCAACACAGGGGTCATTGATGAATTGGCTCTATAAGATCTGAAATAGAGGTGTTATTATTAAATAATAGAATTTTAGGTCACACTGCTGTTTCTTATCAAACAAGGGTTGCAGAAATATTGTCAGGGATCTCTGGCTTATTGTTTTTTTATTATTCATCTGTTACAGTCATTGAGAGTTGCTGAGGATATGAGTAGGCCTATTAAAAAATAACATAAATGCAGAATGTAATTCTGGTCACTGCACTAATTCTTCTTAAATAATACAATTAGAGTAAATGTATCTATGTTTACTGTCCTTTACATGTAGCAAAGCTTCCAGCTGTGGGTGTAATTTTGATGTGTAAGCTATGTTTTCACAGCCTGACCACAGAGAGAGAAATAAAAATATCGGAGTGTGAACTGTAGCTCTCACATTCTGTCAACACCAATTAAAATAGAGTGACTAAATGATCAAAGTGTCACTATGTTCCACCATTACTCAGAATTCTTCCAATAAAACACAGCCGGTCACACACACAGACAGAAAACTAGAATAATGTGCTCTTCATTCTCCTCTTTCAAAGGAAATTAAATTTAGCCTGTGGATAAATGTATTATCACACAGCCCTATCTTCAGACTGATCTAGGCAGCTGCTTGAAACCCCACAGCAGCAACCCTCTAGCTGTTATTGTGTTTTCTTCTGCAAAAGCAAGCATAGATAGCACATCCTCTTTTTTTCCTTTGCCTTCCATGCCTATATCTCTTTCTCTCTGTATTCATTTCCTCTTTCTTACTGACTCTGACAGGTGGGATATGGCGTGACGCTTTGATCTGTGGAGCCATCATTTTTCCCAGAAGCCCATTTTGACCACTGGTCAATGGTTGACTGCTCACTCTAATGTTATTTCAGATTAGCACTGACAAAAATCTCACCTTTTCTTTGGATGTCTTTTTGGCACCTCCCTGGGAACAAATTACAGAATGTAATTTGTATGTTGGTGTTTTGGAAAGGGATCTGCATTTCAGTGGGAAATGATTATAACTCAGCAGTTCTCTGCTGATCAGGCAATGCTTCAAATTTACCAGAACCGTCTTTTTTTGTCTGAAACCTCAGCCTTGAGGAATTGCTTTTATTGTCTCTTTTTGAAATCGACATTTTATCATCTGTCCTCCCAGCTTTCAGGCACATTATGAGATTTATCTTAGGCTCTTGAAAGCTTTCAAATGCCAAGTTTATCTTTTTGACATAAATATGACCGCAAATGGAATTAAGGAGTTGCAGGAGGAGAGACAGACTAAAATGAGAGAGAGAAAGAGAGAGAGAGATTGTGTATTTGTGACCACTAGATGGGGATAATACTAAGGCAAATGTGAGATACTGCTCTACACACTCCTGATGATTCATTCATTCAGACACAAACAGGGTAAATACAGAATATAAAATGAGTGCACACATAAGTAAATATATTTCAGATGGTCTCATTTACAGTCTTCTTAGCAAATGTATTTAAAAGGCACTTGAGAATAAATATGCGGTCGAGACCTGAAGGCAATTACTTCCCATGGGCTCAAGGAGAATGAAATATTTCATCATGCCAAGACATAATTGCTAATACATAAAGAAGAAGGATGTATCCATTTTGCACACATTCTGGGAGTATTGATAGCTTCCTGTTCAATACAAGAGTTCTGGCAACATGCTTGGAAACTTGGTGTCAAGCACTCACACAACCAACGTGGGACAATAACAATGGTATATTATTATAATATAAGTCAGGTGAAACCCTTGGCTCTTTAGTGGGCCATCAGAATCATGCCTGTTCATTTCCTGACCTCAGTGGTGGATATATCTTATACGTCAGTGCTTGGAAATACTGGATGAAACTGGCTTTCACAGTGATGCTTGATATGAGCAAGATATCCGGAAAGACCTACAAACTGCCATTGTACTGTATTTATAGGATCAACAAAGACACTACTGGGTAATTCCTGTTTGTTGTTACTTTCTTGTGACAAAAGCTGCTGGAAAAGTAACATCTGACACCTGTCATATTAAAAGCTAATATTGTACTGGTGCATATTGTTAAATTCTTGATATCCAGAAAATTTACTGACTCGGGTAATTCTGACTCATAAACCCCACTTGACAAAGCATTCTCAGACACTGATTTCACTTTAATCCAAACACTTGGATCCAATCTTATATAAATGATATTATTGTTTGACTGGAGGTGTGACCTTAATATCAGGAAGGTATTCTGGAAGCAAGATAAATCTTTCATAACATAGTCACTGATTGTAAATCAGAAGCAGTGTTTCTTTTGTGCCATCTAATGTCGCTAACAAAAAATACCTATTCTGTAAATATCAACTTGAAGATGTTCTGTTCTATATTGCTTTTAAGACATCATTTTATTTACATGCATTGGTGGACAGAGGGAGCAACCATGTCATACTCATTATATGTGCAATTTCACTTATACAATGAACACTAATGTATTATACACCACTCAGCCATAACATTATGACCACTGACACGTGAAGTGAATAACACAGGAATTAAGGAGTTTCAGGAGGCTCAAAATTGTGGGAACACTGAAATCATACATCAGATCTTGATGAAGAAAATAGTGCAAAGTTCAAATTTTTTACTGTATATTGTATAATTTGTTGAGAACAAAATGATGTAACAGCGGTCAATGGAAACCAAAATCGCCAAAATCACACTGAAAATCAAAGTGCCCACTGCACCAGTGAAAGGTCTGACAATGGCTCTCAGGGTACCTTTGGCTAGCATGTGGACATTTGTTTGACCCTTCAAGGATATGCCTCCTCAGACCATCACTGACCAACTGCAGTGTTCACCACAGTGTCTCCAAACTCTTTCACATCTGTCACAACTGAACCGGCTGAATTTAGAGTTGCTAAGAAGGCAGTCAGTTTCAGATGATGTAAATGGTCCATTTCAGATGATGTAAATGGATGTCTGGAGAACTCCTGGACAGAAAAATGGAGGTTATGAAAAGAATCCATGTTGGTTCCACTGGCCAAGGTTCCATTACTAAAGGTGTTAAATGACTAGTGCCCCATGGCACCTCATTAGTAAATCAGGGCGGCTGAGTCAGTGAACTCTTTCCCTTCTTAAAACATACTTTTCCTTTCCTCATTTTATTTTATTCTATTTATTTTTATATCTACCTTTAACACGTATTTTAGTCTTTAGTGTTTTCTTGGTTTCATCATGTATTTGTTTTTATGTGTTTTATTGCCTTTGCACATGTCAAAGCACTTTGTAACTTGTTTTGCTCTATAGATAAAGATTATTATTATTAGTAGTATTATTATTAGTAGTAGTAGTATTAGTATTAGTATTTGTAGTAGTAGCAGCAGTAGAGTGCAGCAACATTACTGGATTTTGCTGTTGGGCACCTGGAGGGCATGTGCGCTTATTCTTTGTTGATTTCTCATCAGCTTTTAACTGCATACAGCCCCTTATTCTAGCTTGCAGGCTTTCTGAAATATCTGGTGTTGACTTTAGCAACATATGTTGGCTGGTCAACTTCCTGACAATGAGGTAACAGAAAACCCGTGTTTATGAGGCCCTGACGTGGGGGTGCGTCTTGTCTCCTTCGTTATTTGTGGTCTTCACCAATGACTGCCAGATTATGTTTGAGTCAAGGTTCATAATCAAGTTTGCAGATGACTCTGTGATTGTCAGCCTCCTGCAGGACCATGAGGTAGGCCATGGTCCAGTCCTGGACAATTGCATCAAATGGTGTGATGACTCATACTTGCAACTCAAAGTATCTAAGACAAAAGACAAAAGACATGCTCGACTTTTGCCGAAACCCTCCTGTCACAGCAACAACTTTTATCAATGGCAGAGCTACAATGGCAGTGAGCCAGTATAAATACTTGGACACCATCCTTGAAGATAAATTCACCTTTGATGCTAATTCATCTGCAAAAAGAAAAAAGTTGAGGGTTTTTAACACTGATAAATTGCATAAACGAGCAGATACCGGTCCTGCTACTGGGTTGATGCCCTTCTACGGCGCTGTCCAGCTCTCTTCGTGTAAGGGCCGTATCCTGATATCTCCTCCATGCTCTTGAGACAATTGAGCAATTGTCTGTGGCCACAACCTGCAAAACCATTCCCTTTTTGGGGTTGTTCTGCTGTTTTGCCTCTCCATTGCACCAAAACAGGTGATAATGAGTCTGCAGCTCTTGTGGGGTGCTCTGCAGTGGTCAGTATCAAAAGTGGTCCAAGGAAGAAAAAGCGAGGAACCAGCGTCAGGGTCATGGATGCACATGGGGAGTGAAGAGGCTGGCCCACGCGGTCCGATCCAACAGACGTCGTTGTTCTAGAACAATGTTGTCTTATATTTCATTATGCATTCACATGTATTTTTCTATTGACTTCTGTTAATTTGTTTTAGCATTTTATCTACTTTATTTGGTAGAGTTTAGTCTCCAATGTTTTATGTGTTGTTAATTTTATTATATTAATATTGGGCCTCCACATCAAGCTATTGAAATGCACTGAAAAAGATGCTGCATCTGTGACTCCAACCATGTGATCAAGGTTGTGGCTGGTACCTCCCTCACCAGGGTTGTGTCGATGAGAGATGTTGATGATGAATGTTGTAGATCAAGTAGCTACATCTTGTTTATAGAATATACCAATTGCATTTGAATACGTCAATTTTCTGGGTGCCTGAATATCCTAAAATATTCATAATGCTGCAGTCTCTCTTCACTCATAATAATTTCCCTCTGTTTCCTTTACTCTTTCATCAAGTCCTCACATGCCTCTCTCTCCCTGTCTTTCTTGCCATCTCAAACCACGTTTGGGGCACTGATACACTCTTACAGATGCCAGACCAATCGGGGCCCATGCCCGCATGGAAGCAACTCTGTTGCAACGTTTCATGCGTGAAACATCCAGAAGCAGAGATTCTCTGCATTTTTGGTCAGATGAATAATTCTCTCCCACCCAGAGACCTGCCCCTGCCTCATCACAGTGGGTCCCATTGGTGTTCGTTAACAAAGCCAGACAAGAAATGAAGACAGCCTACTTTAAGGAACAGTTCATCCCAAAATGAAAACTCTCATCATTCCCATTGTGCTAGTTAGTACTCTGCAGTGTCTTAATCAGTGCAGCATTTACACTTACGCTTGTCAGATATTATACAAGGTACAAGGTTGTTTATTTGTCATTATACAGCACAAGGCTGCATAACAAAATTAAATTTGTAGGTCCTTCATGCTCCACACACAACATATAGCCTAATTAAGTGTATATTAAAACATTGTAACATAAAATAAATCAGTATAGGCCTACAGTTATTTATATACATATATACATACACGTATACAATACAAGGGACTGCACCATGAGGAAGCTTAAGTCCTGATGGTGTATTTTCTGGAAAAGTGTGATTAACTTATTACCTTATACTATACTGTATTACCCTCTTCCTTGTCTCTCTATGACATGGTGTATTATTAGGATTTGACCACTGGAGGATGCTACAGGCTTTGATTTTTAGTCTGAACCACAGACTGTGACCCAGGCTATTAAATTAGAGCCTTGTCATGAGTACAAAAGAACAACAAAACAGTGTGTCATGAAAAAACATATCCTCTTGCCTACCAGCGCTGACAAACACTGTTGCACTGATAAGAAACATTATTGATATATTTTTTTTTTATAAAATGCTATTAGCTATTGACAAGGTAGCGATAATAAACTGCTGTGGTTTTGGTTAGCTGGGCAGTGTAACTGCTCAATAAATAAGTTAAGAAAACATAACTGATACAGAAAAGAGTAAACTTCCTGCTTTCTTACACTGCAGATGCTTTGCTGCTTGCTCTTGCCTCTCCTTGCATTCTTTTGCTTAAACTCTTTTTTTTCCCTGCTAGAAATCAGCAGCTCTTGGATACTTTTAAATCACTGGGACTGTCAGATAAAGTAGGCTCTTGCCATACTTTAAAACCTTTTATGATCTTAGTGCTACGCGAGTGCGGCCTATCAATAGCACTAGCCTGTACTGCAGTGGCTGGCGCTATAGCTAATGCTAATTAGCAACAAGATGCCCCCCTTCTCCACGGACGACTTCTACAAACTTCTACAGAAAATTACTGTGCTGGAAACCAAGATCCACAGGTTAGAAGTGAATGTGGAAGTGAATGGATTATGTGGGAATGACACCACTTGAACCAACCTACCATGGACCCAAAACAGTGGACAAGAGCATGCTAAAACACGGCTAATTAGCACCAACAAGACTACCAAGAAGCAGGAAGCCTGTGTACGGGGTAATAAATCTCAAAGTGGTAGTCCTCCCTGGAACGCTCTTGGTGCAAAGCCTAAGAATAAATCATTTCCTTGGGAAATGGGAGGACGAGTAACAGGCAGAACCCAGCGCCTTGAGATTTGTGATGCGACTGGATGGCCTGCATTATCATCCAGGCAGAGCGCCTCTTCAACCCCTGTTCTTGGTAGGACACAGCCGTGGACAGCTGCGAAAGGGAGAGTTAGCAACAAACCTCCCCAACAACCGAGTGTGCATCAGCAGAACAGATTTTCACCACTATTGCAGGACCCTGGATCTCCGTCTGATGACCTGGATAACCTCCCGTCCTCACACAGAAGGGTAAGGACTGAGAGTAAATCAGAAAGTAAAAGGCTGCAGGGAAAGCTAACGACTGGGCCTCAAACTCTGATTGTGGGTGACGCTGCTGTAAACGATGTAAGAAGCATATGCAGTAAGAACACCAAAATACTCTGCTTTCCGAAGGATACGGTGTCTGACTAGGCAGAAAGAAACCTGCATATCGTGGCTGAACATCCTACTGTGAAAAACATCATACTGCACATCGGGGCCAATGATGTTGTTGTGGTGTCCGAACAATAATGCTGCGATAATGTGGATGAGGAAACCCGCTTGACACTGTTCTTGATCATAAAAGTTTATTACATCAAGGTGTTCAGCATCAATTACAAGCTCTGCAGCAGCTTGGAGAGTGACCCAGCCCGATGGCCACCCTGTCTCTCTATACATCAAACATAGCTTATATAGGATATGTTTAGGTATCTGTTAGGTACCATAGAGGGG